GCTGAGAATACCATAGACTAAAATAGGAACTGTTGTGGAGTAGCTGAACACCCCCACAAGATGGACTGGTCTAAGACTATTTAAACAGCACTTTCTCTTACTGCTAACGATTACAGTTAACTCTGCTTGTTGACTCTCTACCTACCTACTGTCTGGGGAGTTAGACAACTACTCTACCCCGTGTATACGGTGTCTATGGGGAATTTTTACCCGATCCTACGAGCTAGGAACTCTCCATGCAAAAAACCGACCTTGTGCCACATCCCGCCTTTGTTAGCTTCCTTTGGATCTTGTCCGTTCGTCCGAGAACTGGTCGCATGTAGACTCTAAATACCACCGCCCAGGCCTGTACACTGGAGGGGTACTTTAGTGTCTCACCACCAACGGACTGAATCGTGACCAAATAGGGAGCTACTTTTATCTAGCGAGATAAACGTATGTCTACCATATATATATATATATATATATATATATATATATATATATATATATATAGGGGGTGGGGGGGTTAAAATAAGAATATAACTGTAAATGGACAATATAACTAAAGACAAAAGCAAAACTTATTTTAACCGACACGCTTGATAAATCTAAGTTAAATTTTCCTTTTGTCTTGTTCATAAAGGATTTTACAACAACAAAATATGCCTAAGTAAGGATAAATACAAAAGTAATACAGGTCTCTCAAAATATTATTGTTAAATAGAAAATAGTGGAACGCTAGCAGAATTTACGCGGGAAATAATAGCAAGAACTAAATCTTACAATGCTAACGATGAAAGATTTGTAATCTTTGCCATGTTCATATATATATATATATATATATATATATATATATATATATATATATATATATAAAATAATCGTTCACACGCCAGTAGTTTAATATCGCCCGGGGAGACACATTTATAGTGATGAAACGTAATTGCAATTGTGTAGCTATTTTTAGCATGTTTTTGTTTTAATATCCTAAACTAAATAATATTTATCTCTACTCTGTATTCAGCCCTCTTTTAAATTAAATGTTACGGACATTGGAATTATACTTCATTTATTCTTATTCTACACACACACACACACACACACACACACACACACACACACACACATATATATATATATATATATATATATATATATATATATATATATATATATTGTGCCCACCCTACATATCTTTCAAATCATTTGAAAATTGGATATATTCTTTTTTTTATTTTTTAAAAGTAAAAGATACAATTTCAGTAACTACAGTCTATTTTGCTTTTATTTTCAGTCTTTTGTCAGGCTCCTCTGATTACGAATAAGTTCAAATTTGGATTCATCTGCCCACAATACATTTTGCTAAACTATGAATATTTAGTATGGGAAACATTATATGTTGTTTTCGCCATTAACCTCTGAGTAGACCTTTCAACTAATTTAGGCGTTAATACAGGTTCTAAATGTTAATTCGGCGTTGACTAATGTCGTAAACAAACCATATATAGCCGTCTCTGTTTAAAGAAAAATGATTTTCTCATTACGACAGTATTTTCATGGTTCTTTTTTTTTATTTTTTAATTTCGAAGTAATTTGCTCAAAATGGCAAAAGCATTCATGTAAGCACTGAGGTGAGGGCATAAATTGAAATTTTATACAAAGAAGGCTACTCTCAAAGACAAATTGCCAATATATATATATATATATATATATATATATATATATATGCGGTACTTAGTGGAAAGTCCTCAATATCTGTGAAAGAGCTAATATATTCAATTGTATGGATAGTAGTTTGCAAACCTGGGTTTCACGCTTTTGCGATTATCAGACAAACACTTGTTTATCTGGTGATCGCAAAAGCATGAAACCCGGAGTCACAAACAAATATCTGTCAGTGGTGAACCCTGTTTGTATGGCACCAATAACATAGCATCTGAGCGGCAATTTGGCAAAATGCCATCTGGCATGAAGATGAGTAATATATCATTGTTTTCCGCCATTTCTTCTTTTTTAACGATATAAGTGTGCTCAATACGGTTAAAATCATTAAGCGTTGCAGCTTGACGAAGAGTGTAGAAATATACGCTGTTTTTCCACTTTCGCGGGCTTGTGCTCCTCACCCTTAAAAATATGAAAAACCTATTCTTCTACCACTAGAAGTTGGGCTCCCATTTCTACCTTTCATCTATCTACTCCTCACCCCCGCCTGTAGACCAAATATCTCCACTCCACCATTAGTCGAACTGATTTCAGCCGCTGGGCAAGTTTATAATTTAATTGAAATGAGAGGAGAGGAGAGAGGAAACTCCTACTGTCTCTAGTGATTATGTGAATAAGCCATTCAAAGAGCAGTTTGACCGATGAATAAATTCTCTGCTTACATTCATTTAATAAAAGCGGTTTATAGCAACGCAGAGTGGTCTATAGAGATTTGGTTGACGGTCTCGATAAAGGACAACTCTAAATACCCAACCCCTAGGATGTGATGTTAGCAATTCCACTCCTCACAAACTATTTTTTTTAATGTTCTCACTCCAAGCAAGGCAACAAAGTCACTAACAGTCAGAGGGGGAGTATTGCTAAGTGTGACAGATATCAGAAAAACATTATTAAGGAGCAAGAACAATAAAAAAACAAAAATTGAGAAAACAGAAGTTTTAAAAAATTATGACATTGCATTTAAAATTTTGAAGATCAAACTTGACCGGTTTGGTTTGGTTTGGTTTGGTTTGGTTTACGGCATATCAACCTCAATAAATTATTTAATGCCAACAAAATTTTTATTACTGACTAGACCATCGTGACCCGTTGGGTCAAACTTGTTGTGTTACTGTTTACATTTAGTTTCATGAAGAGTTTGTGAAAGTAGAGATATTTTAAAAATACATTTATTTGCGGTTATTGAAGTTGCTTTCAACATTAAAAAAAATTGTCTGTTTGAAGAATATTAAAACAAAAATACTTACTGTATAAACAAATCGTATTTTTAAATCGTATTACAAAACACTGGCGTTTCTTTCAACATTAAAAAAATTGTCTGTCTGAAGAAAGTTGAAATAAAAATATTTAAAATATTGTTGGTTTAAAGAAAGCTGAAATAAGCACGCACGCAATCACAGAGAGGCGGAAAGAGAGAGATGGAAAGAGCGAGAGGTGGAAAACGAGAGGTGGAAAGAGAGAGAGATGGAAAGAGAGAGATGAAAAGAGAGAGAGGTGGAAAGCGAGAGGTGGAAAGGGACAGATGGAAAGAGAGAGAGGTGGAAAGCGAGAAGTGGAAAGGGAGAGATGGAAAGAGAGAGAGGTGGAAAGCGAGAGGTGGAAAGAGAGAGAGGTGGAATGAAGGAGAGGTGGAAAGAGCGAGAGGTGAAAAGAGTAGGTAGAAATCAAAAGTTGGAAAGAGGGAGAGTTGGAAAGTGCGAGAGGTGGAAAGAGCGAGTGCTAGAAAGAGGGAGAGGTGGAAAGAGTAGATAGAAATCAAGAGAAGGAAAGAGAGAGAGGGGAAAGAGCGAGAGGTGGAAAGAGGGAGAGGTGGAAAGAGGAAGAGGTGGAAAGAGTAGGTAGAAATCAAAAGGTAGAAAGAGAGAGAGGTGGAAAGAGGGAGAGGTGGAAAGAGTAGGTAGGAATCAAGAGATGGAAAGAGAGAGAGGGATAAAGAGCGAGATGTGGAAAGAGTAGGTAGAAATCAAAAGATGGAAAGAGAGAGAGGGAAAGAGGAGAGGAGGTGAGAGATCTAAAAAAGAGATGCAAAGAGAGAGAGAGGTGGAAAGAGCGAGTGCTGGAAAGAGGGAGAGGTGGAAAGAGTAGGTAGAAATCAAAAGATGGAAAGAGAGAGGTGGAAAGAGAGAGGGGTGGAAAGAGAGAGGTGGAAAGAGAGAGAGAGGTGGAAAGAGAGATGGTGGAAAGAGAGAGGTGGAAAGAGAGAGGAAAAATCAAAAGATGGAAAGAGAGAGGGAAAGAGAGAGAGATGGAAAGAGAGAGGTGGAAAAAGAGAGAGAGAAAGAAAGAGAGATGGAAAGAGAAAGGTGGAAAGAGGAGGAGAGATGGAAAGAGAGAGGGAAAAGAGAGAGGGGAAAGGGAGGTGGAAAGAGGGAGGTGGAAGGTGGAAAAAGAGAAAGAAAAGAGATGGAAAGAGAGAGTGAGGAACAGAGCGTGAGGTGGAAAAGGGAGAGAGAGAGAGGTGGAAAGAGAGAGGTAGAAATCAAGAGATGGAAAGAGGAGAGGTGGAAAAAGAGATGGAGAGGTGGAAAGAGAGAGGTGGAAAAGAGTGATGAAAAAGGGAGAGAGAGAGTGGAAAGAAGGAGAGAGGTGGAAAGAGAAGAAAGAGGGAAAGAGAGAGGTGGAAAGAAGGAGAGAGGTAAGAGAGAGATGGAAAGAGAGAGAAAGGAAAAAAGGGAGGAGAAAGAGAGAGGAGAAGAAAGGAGAGATGGAAAGAGAGAGGTGGAAAGAGGGAGAAGTGGAAAAGAGAGAGATGGAGTGAGAGAGAGGTGGAAAAGAGAGAGGTGGAAAGAGAGAGAGGTGGAAAGAAAGAGAGGAGAGGTGGAAAAGAGAGATGGGAGAGAGAGAGGTGGAAAGAGAGAAGTGCTGGAAAAGGGAGAGAGGTGGAAAGAGAGAGGTAGAAAGGGAGAAAGTTGGAAAAAGAGAGAGTTGGAAAGAGAGAGAAGAGAGGTGGAAAAAGAGCTGGAGAGATGGAAAAAGAGGGAGAGATGGAAAAGAGTAGATAGAAATGGAAAGAGAGATGGAAAAAGAGAGAGGTGGAAAGAGAGGTGGAAAGAGGGAGAGGTGGAAAGAGAGAAGAAATCAAAAGGTGGAAAAAGAGAGAGGTGGAAAGAGGGAGAGGTGGAAAGAGAGGTAGAAATCAAGAGATGGAAAAAGAGAGAGAGAAAGAGAGAGATGTGGAAAGAGAGGTAGAAATCAAAAGATGGAAAGAGAGAGGTGGGAAAGAGAGAGAGGTGGAAAGAGAGAGATGGAAAGAAAAAGAGAGGAAAGGAAAGAGAGAGGTGGAAAAAGAAAGATGGAAAAGAGAGAGGGGAAAGAGAGAGAGGTGGAAAGAGAGATGGTGAGAGAAAGAGAGAGAGGTGGAAAGAGAGGTAGAAATCAAAAGATGGAAAGAGAGAGGGGGAAAGAGAGAGAGGAGAGAAAGAGAGAGATGGAAAGAAAGAGAGAGAGGTGGAAAGAGAAAGGATAGAAAATGGAAAAGATGGAAAGAGAGAGGGGAAAGAGAGAGGAAGGTGGAAAGAGGGAGAGAGCTGTAAAAAGGGAGAGGTGGAAAGATAGGTGGAAAGAAAGATGGAAAAAGAGAGAGAGGAGGGAGAAAGAGAAAGGTGGAAGGAGTGGTGGAAGGAGAGAGGTGGAAAAAGGAGAGGTGGAAAGAGAGAGAGGTAAAAAGAAAGAGATGGAAAGAGAGAGAGAGAAGAAAGAGAGAGTGCTGGAAAGAGGGAGAGGTGGAAAGAGAAGGTGGAAATAAAAAAAGAAAGATAGAGAAAGAGAGAGGGAAAGAGGAGAGAGGGTGGAAAGAGAGAGAAAAAAAGAGAGAGGTGAAAGAAAAGTGCTGGAAGGTGGAAAGAGAGGTGGAAATAAGAGAAATCAAAAAATGATGGAGAGAGAGTTTAAAAGAGAAGAGGGTGGAAAGAGAGAGATGGAAAAGAAGAGAGAGGGAAAAGAGAGGTGGAAATCAAGGTTGGAAAGAGAGTGAGTTGGAAAGAGGGAGAGGTGGAAAGAGAGATGGAAAGAAAGAGGGAGATGGAAAGAGAGAGGGAAAAGAGGGAGAGGTGGAAAAGAGGAGAAGGTGGAAATCGGGAGAGGTGTAAAAAGTAGGTAGGAATCAAGAGATAGAAAGAGAGAGAGGAATAAAGAGCGAGATGTGGAAAGAGTAGGTAGAAATCAAAAGATGGAAAGAGAGAGGTGGAAAGAGAGAGAGGTGGAAAGAGAGAGATGGAAAGAAAGAGAGAGGTGGAAAGAGTAGGTAGAAATCAAAAGATGGAAAGAGAGAGGGGGAAAGACCGAGAGGTGGAAAGAGAGAGATGGAAAGAAAGAGAGAGGTGGAAAGAGTAGGTAGAAATCAAAAGATGGAAAAGAGAGGAGGAATGAGACCGAGAGGTGGAAAGAGGGAGTGCTGGAAAGAGGGAGAGGTGGAATCTTTTTTAAAGGTAGAAATCAAGAGATGGAAATAGAGAGAGGGAAAAGAGATGAGGTGCTTTGGAAAGAAAGGAAAGAGGGAGAGGTAGAAAGAGTAGGTAGAAATCAAGAGATGGAAAAGAGAGAGAGGAGGGACAGATTGAATATTGAGGTGGAAAGGAGAGATGGAAAGAGAGAGAGCAGTGGGGCAAGGAGAGAGGTGGAAAAGAGAGAGATGAAAAAAGAGAGGTGGAAAGAAGACCAAGATAGGCTGAGAGGGGAGAGGTGGAAAGAGTAGGTAGAAATCAAGAGATGGAAAGAGAGAGAGGGGGAAAGAGAGAGATGGAAAGAGAGAGAAAGAGGTGGAAAGAGTAGTTAGAAATCATGAGATGGAAAGAGAGAGAGGTGGAAAGAAAGACAGGTGGAAAGAGAAAGGTGCAAAGAGAGAGAGATGAAAAGCGCGAGATGTGGAAAGAGGGAGGGATAGAAAGACAGAGAGATGGAAAGATAATATATAATATATAATATGCCGGTTTGTTCAGAGAGTTCATGTTCCAGTTAATGTGTCCTCCGGCGATTGTGGACAATCCTGCGTACGTGTCTTGTTCTTGCCACTACCGTTTATACTCTCCTTCGACTGACCGGTGTCTTCATTACTATAAGCCTTGTGGAACTAACTTTAGGTTTCTATACTTGTATGGGGAAATGAATGGTTTTACATGCATGCCAATTTTTGATAGCCTTTTTCCGACCGCCTCCATTCCGATTCGATAATTTCTGCCTGAATTAGAGGAGGAGTTATCATTATTTACTTGTAACCTATTGTCCTTATGATGATTGCGTGAACACCCATGAAACATTTAGTTGTCGCCGGCTACCGTGGGTATTTTAGAAATACTAAGTCTCTGCCGATTAATACGACATTAAGGCCTTATTCTCCGGTGTTTCATTGTGTCATACTCCGTTAGTTATTATTATTATTATTATTATTATTATTATTATTATTATTGTTGTTGTTGTTGTTGTTGTTTAATAAATAAAATGCACCGTTTACTCAAATATGGGTATCCTAAAAAATAATGTTTAAAGTGTTTTACATATATATATATATATATATATATATATATTACTGAATATACATAACATCTAACGTCGATACTGTCTTAATCGGAATTTCATGCAGTTAATGCAGTCTTCAGGTATATATATATATATATGTGTGTGTGTTTGTGCGTGTGCGTATGTGTGTGTGTTACACCACAACATATTTGCCTCCAATGAAAATAACAAAATAGCACACATAGCGTTCAGGAAACATATGTCTGAATTTTTATACTTTTGCTATTTTTTTTTTTCGAGAAGCTAAATGTGGTCATGGCTTCAAAATTTCTCTGTTTTCTTTTCGTTCTTCTTTCTTTTTATATGCCATATACCCACTCATTTCCAGTTATAGCCTTCTCGTATTCTATCTAAACTTCTTTCTTTCTCGTCCAAATATTTCTTCTTTATCGTTTCTCTTCTTTCTCACCCGAATTCACTCTTTCTTCTCTTTTTGCTTTCATCAATCTTCTAGATTCGTTCTCTCGTTTATTTTCTTTATTCTTTTCTTCTTCTTCATATTTCATGAAGTTTTTTCAGTGCTTCTTCTACCTTGGTACATTTTTCTAAATACAGTCGCTCACTTCTCTCTTATTCGCAAAACATATATTCTAAAACTCCCAGATAATTCCTGAACATACGGACAGTCCCAAAATCTATACATACTCTTATTTTTTCTATACCTATGACAAATCTTCTTAATAAATAAACGGCAAATTCTATCTGTCCTTCCGTGTGTGATTCCCCCCTAACTCGGACCACTTTTACTCTACATAGGCATATTATACCTTTTGGAATCAGGATGATCTCGGGATTGAAAATCTGTCCTTCATTTGCTGCTTGAACATCCAGCACTGGGATATGTATCCGGATGAGGAGGGAAAGTTAATAATTCAAATTTTAAAATAACTGAAATTTAATTTATATTGAGTTTAAAGCAACACAAAAACTTTGTAAATTTAATTTTTTGGTTTTAAATTCAGTTTAAAATATCTCCAAAATTTTGTAAATTGAGGGAAAAAAATGGGAAGGAATCAGAGTTAAAGAAAGAGATTTCGTGACGTGAGGCTTTGAGGTTCCGCAGAGTTTGTTTTGAAGAACTCGGTTTTCGGCCTGAATTGGAATTTCGTCACAAATCAGAGTTTCGGCCCAAATCAGAGTTTTGGCCCAAATTGGTCTTTTGGTCAGAATTGGACTTACAGCCCGAATCAGAGTTAAAGCGAGGTTTTGAAGTTCCATTGAATGAATTGAGGAATTCAAAGTTATTTCTTCAAAATTATCATTGCAGTTTTCTAAGCTGGACCAGAAGTTCCATTAGTTTTAGACCAGAGGCCCAATTATCCCTCTGCAGGAACTAGTTTCAAAGTTCGCACGGAGTGCGTCCTTTAAGGTAATAATTTTTAAATTAGACACAATAAGATATTAACAACAATCAGTAATAATAGAGTTCGAATGGGTTGGTTTCTTGGAGGACACAATGAATGACAATGAAGTTTCAAAAACGTAGACACAATTGCCACTTAACCCTAACGTTAGAAAAGTAGATAAAGATACGATTTACATTTGAGTCAAAAAGATAAATAGATTCACACTAGGGTCAAAGATAAGTATAAGTCCGGCCTATACTAATTACAAACAGACATAGGACTGGTTTACACTAAGGCAAAAAGATAGATACAGGTCGAGTTTAGACAAGGTTCATAAACGTAAATATAGTTTCGGTTTAAAATAGGTTCTAAAGGGTGAATACAGATCGGGTTTAGACGAGGTTCATAAAGGCAAATATAGTTTCGGTTTAAACTAGGTTCTAAAAAGTTGATACTGCTTGGGTTTATCCCCTAGTCTGAATGTATCCACCTGGGGGGTAGACCTCTCTTGAGGATTTGACGAAGAGAAGTTTCGTTTTTATATTATGTCTTAGAATATTCAGTGTACGGTAAAGTTGTAAGCTTATACATATTAAATTAAAGAAATATTTCTGTGATGTCTTTGGTGATGTTTTCCACCTTTTTTTCTTTTGTTTCCTATTTGCAGATCATTCTTCCTCTTTATATTTTAAGTCTTCTTTCTTTCTTCTCTTTCTTTCTTTCTTTCTTTCTTTCTTTCTGTTATATAACGTACCTATGAACACTAATGGGTATGTCTAAATCCTCATAAATACATTGGACACTATTGTAAGTGGTGGTGTGGGGGAAATGCAGTCTAAGTAGGACACCACTAGCTGGCGAGTATTGTATTTCGTTGATGTTATAAAGATTATCTTTTCATTTCCAAACTCCATTTTGGTTATTCCTCATTCAGTAACCTTTTCTAGGTTAAAACACTTTCTTTCTTTCTTATCCAAAGATTTTATCTTTTTCTTTTCTATTTTTTATTCTTTTGATACTTTTTCTGCCATTCATTCTTTTCCGAATTATCCTAATTTTCAACATTACAACTTGGGATCATTATTGAGTAAAACTTATAAAGCATTGTTTTATTTTGTTGTTGTTGTTGTTGTTTTTGATGGAGGGGGTACAGCGCATAACTTAAACCGCGGATACCAATGTAATCCCTCGATTAATGCGTTTTCGAGTAGTGTGTATCTTTTAATGTACATATTAGCCGCACTAATCGAGGGATCCTTATATTTCCTTTTCTATATCTTTATTTTCTAATATTTATCTTCCACTTTAATTTATAATACGGAGGGAAAAACGCTAAATAAAAAGAAGGAAAAGGTGGTTAGAGAGAGGGGGGACGAAGCAGGACAGAGAATGAAGAGACGTGAAAGAAGAGAGAACGAGAGGTGATTAGAAAAAGAGAAATAATGACTTTGTCCAGAGAAAAAAATAAACAGAGATAAATGAAAAGAGAGATGGTTAGAGAGAGGGAAAGAAAGAACGAATTTGTACCGAGAGAGAAAGAAAAGGTGAACGTAAAGTAGGTTCGAGAGAAAGAAAGAGAGAAAAAAATAATAAATTGAATAATCTGTAGAAAGAAAGAAAGAAGACTTGAGAAAAATATAAAAAAGGTAGAAAGAGAGAAGGAATCCGTAGAAAGAGATAGAGAGCAAAAAGAAAGAAAGAAAGAAAAAAAGTAAAGATGTTTCATGGGAAAGAAAAATAGAAAGAAAGAAACGATAGAGAGAGAAGTAAATAAAACTCTAGAGAAAGAAAGATAGAAAGGATCTGTAGAGAGAGTATGTGTGTTAGAGAGTGAGAAAAGAATGAAGTGACAGTAAGAAAGAAAGAAAGAAAGAAAGAAAGAAAGAAAGAAAGAAATTAATAGTTCAGAGAGAGAAAATGACCGGGATCCTGTGCTTTTGAAATACAATGAGAAAACAAAAAACTAAAAATGTAATGAAAGTGAGACAGACAGACAGACAGACAAGAGAGACAGGCAGACAGACAGAAAAGTGGTGAAAAATAGAATACAAACAAAAAGATTTTGTATATAATTACGCAAACGTTCAATCACTTCAGGTCATAGAATCAAGGCAGGATTCACGCAATATTTTTTCTGTATCGCTTTCTTACAATAAAAGATTTACAAAGAATATAAAAATCTTACCCTCTTCAAGTCAATAATCAATTGTTATTTATCCTCCTTATCCTCATAATCTTCACTTCATGTCACCTCCTCTTTCATTCATATCATATCTCATCTGTCATAACCGCTTTTAACAGTCATCTCTACCTTGATTGGCTCTCGCGTCTCCTACTGTGCGAATTTTAGTATAAACAAAGTACCCGTGATATCTCATTATCCTCAGTATCAATTTCAATACCACTGCCGGAAAAATGTTTCCCAATTCTCCCCCGTGACATTTCTGTCCCCTGTTATTTTACCAACAAACCCATCCACCTCGTCATTCGATTTTCTATTTGGTCTTTTCCTAATATGTTTACTATTTAATGAGCACCGATCAAGGAACCTTTGTTCAGTCTGTTGTTATCCGTTCTAGTTAATATGTGCGCCATTTTTGTCAATTAATCACTTCCGAAAAAGGAAATTTATACTTAATATCGGGAAGAGACAGTTGAGGTTCCTAGGCCACATAATGAGAAAAAAGGGCTTGGAAAATTTGATACTAACAGGGAAGATTAAAGGCATGAAAACAACGCATAACATACTTAGCTTGAGTAAATGGATGGCGGAACAAGAGATATAACAGAAAGACAAAATATATTAAGAGCTACAAGGGACAGGAAGTTGGGGAGAGCCATGATCGCCTAAGTTCTGTGGGGACACGGCACATAAAGAAGTTATCTCTTGGGCACTCCTACGTTCCATTATGTCCTCTTTTTATCTCTTAAACATGCCTAGCATTTTTCGTTTTTTAGTGCTCTGTCCCTTGAGGATGCTGGCGACCATGGCTCTCCACAACTTCATGTCCTTTGTACCTCTTAGTAAGGTTGGTCTTTTTTATAGGAGGCGCGTCTGTTGTAATTGATGCGCAAGAGGAGAACCGAATTCCGGTCGAGTGCGTTAAATTCACTGACGCGCAAGACGAAAAAGGTGTGAATCTATTTCTTCCCCCTAGCTGTGGGTTAAATAGTAGAACTTGTACCTGG